TATCTATTGTGTATGAATAACATGAAAGTGACTGAGATATGGACAACAGTTGTGTGTGGACACGTGGCACAAATCAGCAATGACAATTATGTAGTAGACTTGAGATACCAGAAATCGAAATGGTGAACGTCCTGGAACCTTTCAGCTTAACACTATCTGGACACTATAAGAATGATCGTTCGACTAGAATAGACATCTGTGATCATCCATCATATGTCCGAATCGATCATTCAATCATATCCTTACTTTCACGTCATTGATGTTATGCTACAAACAATTGTGATGAGTTTGATGATTTCCAATATGTAAACAGTATCTGACTTAAAGGTCTAGTGGTATGTGTTGAACCAGGAAAAGATGGTCTCGTCAGACAAGCGAAGATCAGAACATCGGAATGTCTAATCACTAGAGACATACGTAAAATTTGCTTATTCGAACGAGCAGACGATTGAGTGGTAGAGTGTAGAAAAACTTTTCAGAGTGACTTTGGATAGAGCGAACTGTACCATCGTCAACTCTGAATGTCTTCACGCTAAATATCTAATCAGTGAGAGTAAGGAAGGAGATGTCATCATTGGTGGTCGGTATTAAGCTTGTTTTACATAGTTGTTAATCGCTTCTCGTCCACTCTTTTGCGCATCATTTTATACTACTTATTTACATTCAGTAAATAGTTGTATCGCCAGCAATGTTTGTTCGATAGACCTAACACAAACTAATTAATCTTCTTATTCGATCTTTGATGAACTGATAAACACGAGATTCAAACTGTTTACTGTTTCATATCTTAATTTATGAAATTAATGCATTAATTGCCTTATAACAAGTGAACGGAATAATTCCGATGACGATGATGATCGGTTTCGTAAGATGTTCTAGTAAGTTCGGTAGTTCGAATGTTCCGTTTCAACAAATCAGTCAACTGGTGTCATTTACTAAGAGAAACGCATCAGTCAACCTACTCGTTCTACAGTCAACTACAATTTCGTCAGTTCCTCTTCACATTAATCACACATGTTTCAATGTTATCCATGAAAGAAAACACGATCCAATCATCATCATCATCTAATCAATTACTACTATTCAAACGATTGTCTCTTCGTCTATTCAGTGAATAATTTCAAAGAACAACACATAGTGAAAAACAATTAAATAGTTTATTTACATTTAGTTACAGAATGTCTGACATGGTGAATTACAGCACAATACAGTACAGTACAGTAAAGTACAGTACAGTAAAGTACAGTACAGTAAAGTACAGTACAGTTCATTACAATACAATAGTCAGTAGACGCATGAACACAAACATTTACAAATTACATTGAATGTACAATGGTTTAAGGATGTAAGTCGAAGAAGAGGAAGAAGAGGAAGAGGAAGAGGAAGCAGAAGAAGAAGAAGAAGAAGAAGAAGAAGAAGAAGAAGACGAAGAGAAAGAGGAAGAGCGTAAAGGGGAAAATGGTTTGAATGAGCTACCGATGTACATAGATGATTGGCTTACATTAGAGCAAACCAATTACGCAAATATAAAACTGCAATAAAATATTCACTGATATCTAACATTCAACAGATAGATATTCAGCAAACAGTTTACTTAATAAGAACGTTCATTATGATGAGTGATTGCGATTACCATGAATTGTACGTAGTTCACAGTGTAAACTTGTCCGTTTACTTACCACAAACATTCTTATTTATTCATGCGTAATCGTCTACAGTTTAGCGATTCGAGGGACATCAGATATAAGTGAAGAGAAGTTGCAACATTGTGGTTGGTGATGTTATGAGGAATTTGTAAGTTAAAGCTAATTAGAATAATTTAAGTTCCGAGAATGTAGACTGGAACTTCAAATACACACACTGTGATAAAACGTAATTCACTGGTAAACTTCACTTAACACTTTTCTGTAACGTCTGTCAACCGTCGCTTATTCACTGACTGACATTTCTATAGACAATGGACACTTAGTGCATTTATCCGTAAACATCAGCTCCGATCTACCGATCAACTTTGCATGGAAACACTTGCTTCTTTGTTTATGCCAACTACATATTCACAAATGATATGTGTCATTTCAGTTCACCGAAATAAAATACAACAAAACTACCCTCAATCATATAATCCATGTTACACTGACCCTAATTACACTGGATATTCGAAACATTCCTCATTATGATTATGATTATTATTAATAATATGACCATGATAAACATGACTTCAACTTACAACAACACACTCTTCCTCCAGTCACATGGTCAGTTGAATTGATGTTCATTGTAGCGTTTACAATCAGTCCAGAATACAGAGTGCACCATTTCGATTCGAGCTGTAAATAAGGAGAAGTTTGAAATGTAACGTATATCTGCAATTCATACATCAAATGGTTGATGGATGTAGCATTCCATCTAATATAAATGGTAATAATAATCATAATAATAATAGCTCCAATTGGACACTTGACATTTCATTGAAACACTTCGTACAGTCGAAAATTGCAAACGTTTCTTATTCTCTACAACTAAGAATAACAATAATATTTCTGTTAAGATAACAGAGTAGGTGGATATTGACATGAATCGGTGATCATCAATTCAACTGGAAGTATGTATATATACAGTGATATATCAGTTAGACAATTACATATTTAGCCAAAATTTATGGTAAACTTACAATTTGATGTGTGTATAGATTACACTGAGGATGAGATCGGCATTCAGTAAAACAATCAGATTTCACTTGGACTGTCTCCAACCAATGGTTTTGTGAGAATGTCTTCTCTGGCAGTCCCAATTTGACTATCCATTGTGAATAGTTGCAATGCATATATGTACTACATTTAGGGCAGTGCTCACATGAGGATAACAATGTCGAATGATTTGTCACATTTGTTTGTGTGTGCAAACAATATGAAAGATGAATGGAAATGTATACAGTGATCACGAATGAATATTGAATCATTTGATGTAACTTGAAATGTATAAGAAATGGTGTGTTGTTCGACAATAACAACAACAACTACTACTGCTGCTGTTTATATAGTGGAGATGAATCAATTGATTGGTGGAAATTCCCATATCCACAAATTCACCAATTGGGTGGCTGCTCATTGACAAAATGAATAATTTCTAACCAGTTGGATGAATGCAAACTGTATTGGTCATTTATTTCATTATGTATAGTCATTATGGCTTGCACAGTGATTTTCGTCGAGTTTACATGCCCATGTTTTGGTCACTTATATGTTGACGATGAAGCACTTGAGGGTACTGTGTCATTTACTCCGCCAATCAATTCTACTGCGGATTCCATGTTGATGTGCCCATAACTGATGTTTGTGCTTGATTTAGTGTTGCACTCTCGTTAAACATCATTGCCTTAAACCGACTTACTTATGTTCTTCTCGAATATCTCAATGCACTGACGATAACTGCTTCCTACATCACAACCAATGACAATTCAATTTTGATGATGTGATTGATTTGAACAGAGATCATTGCGTTTATCATCTTATCAACTCGCCACTGTGTGTCTGCTCTGATCTCACAGGAACGATGGCAACATTACTTAAATAGAATGAGTGATCCATGAGAAATAATCGATTGCCGTAACTGTTTCTTTTCATTTTGAATTTCAATAGTGGAGCATGTGAATTTCTCAACAGAATGTGTTGCTTCAATATGATGCTACTGTGCTTTATAAGTTTCCGAAACAAATTAATCAGTTCGCTTATGTTGTATATATGAAGCAAATTTCACGTTAAGATTAGAGACGCGAATATTAACCAGTCTTGACTTATTCACATACGAGTCAAGTTCAAGTAGCGCAAATAACAAGTGGCATTCGAGTATGATCTACTCAATAGATTGTAACTATCAAGAGACTAACTTCGTTGTCATTCACTGAGATGGATTATGTGTAAGGTGAACGAAATAAATGGATGTAATTGGAAGCTATTGACGAACAATCAGAGCGTTCACTCTACTCTCTGTGTGGCTATCAGTTTTTGTTATCTCTCTCATTGTACAAATGTATGGTAGTACTTTGTTTGGTGTTTGGTTTTGGTCCAAACCGTAAAGTATTTTCAGTTCGACTAGAATTATCAAGTAGATTTAGGCTAGCTAAACTCACTTGTATGTGTGCACTTATGAGACCTGTATAATTGAGGAGAGGTCGACTGATACACAGGCATGTGTATCGTATGTTTTTTGTTTGTCTAACGTTGACGGTTTATGACTGATGCCTATGAATTTTCCTCTGGTCCGGTATTCGTTGGCAATATGCTAAAACTTAGCCGACTTTTCACGAAAACCGTATCAATTTCATTCACTTATATCGGAAATTCTCTCCTCAGATAAAAGTCTTTTCTATTTAGTAGATTACTCATCAAACCTGTCTGACGCATTTGTTTTACTGTCACACGATTATTCTTCACATCCACATGTCTTCTGTTGCACACCATTACAAAGGCAGTGACTGACATAATGAGAATTGAGATATTTTCATTGACTGCTTGTAACTAGCATATACATCAATGAAATCACAGCAGTAGTTGTGACTCAGTAGGTTGGCTGACGATCTTATGACTTTTATTACGAAGAGAGCGTAGTCTCAGCTGATATATGCATGTTACTACGAATACATACACACCTAGATTATAAGTCATAAATAGGGTTGACTGTCAAGTCATAGAGCCTGTGACAATTTACCGACGGAAATATTCTTATGCCAGCATCAACAATTTTCAATGTAGAATGCACACATCGATCTCGAATCAGTTTACTGATGATTTTCAGAAACGTTACAATCTGCAATCTGTCATTCGTGGTTATAGTCTCATCATGATAGACAAACGGAATAAATGAAATATGTGTGGTCCGTTAAGTGTGTCCAACTACCTATTCTACCGCATTGCTCAGGGTGATAATCAATGTTGGAACAGAACAACTTTATTTTTTCGTGTGTTGACTTTCCACCGATTATACGATACAACAGACACTGAATGAAGCAATCATTGTCGCACAATCTTACTATGATGAATGGTGTTTTCACTGGAGATATGGTTGACTTTCATCAAACAAACGATAACTCATCTCGAATTCTTTCCACAAGTATGAAACGAGATCAGTTAGAATGTTTAACTTCAAACACTTTATTAAATTCTGCAACACAGCTAACTCACAACCATATTCCACCTTTTCTTTCACTCAGAATCTATTCACGTTTGACAACAGTCGATCGTTTGAAGCTGCTTTACACAACAGAACATTTGATGAAACATGCGATGAAATTAAATATCCGTTTACAAATGAGAGATTTCCCATCTCTACCACTACCTTGACCTTTACCTACAATGGTTATTTTGATCATCATCAGTTTGTAAGTAAACAACTGCGTCCATTCATGTAATGAAATATGTACTCTAGCTAACCTTTTATTATTATTATTATTATTATTATTATTATTATTGTAGTTGTTGTTGTTGTTTGGTGAACACCTTCACACAAACATCAACTTCTTCTTCCCATAAAACTAAATTGCATATTCGACATCTGCTTTCGTCATATTGTGGTTCACACGTCCTTCCATTATATCAACATGTTTATTATTATTGTAGTAAATAGGGCATTTTATTCCCATCATCATCATCATCTTATTCTATTCAAACTATAATTCAGAGCTTGTTTGTTAGTTTGTCACTTACAGTTCATTTACAATAACACCCTGTCAAATTCAATTAACAACATGGTCTCGCATTCACTTCACAATACGAGATTAGATTCCTCCACCGTTTTCATTACTTCCTCGTGTTCATCATTGCCTGATTTCCACATTCTCATCACTGAATGCAACCGTACACATTCACAGTTGCCTCAATCACTACTTATAAGTACAACACAGAACAATATGATGAGGTATTCTTATTCAGATAACAATGAACTGATGTAATGATGAAAATATGATCAATCTTCAATCACATATGTACACCATGATTTTGTGGAATCGACTGTCGACATTACTGACTATCGGATAATCAATAATTCACTGAATGAAGTGTTCATGTGATTGCAGTGCACGATGAATTTAAAAACTGGATATTCCATTGACTTGGTTCTGTGTAAAGCCAATAGAACAACAGGTATTCTCTCTGCCCGTTCAATGACTAATTCGTGTATTATACACTTCAATAATACATATTGCTTTAAATGCTATGTGTGTTCTGCTAGCTTAATCTCCTTCTTCTCTAACTACCACTAATAATAATTACTTGGATCAACTCTGATCAACTGGTTGAAAACTCATTATAAATGAATCAATCAAATGAATGTGTTCAGTGGATGGATGTGGTTGAGAATATTCTATAGCAAGACAGATATCAGTATGTCTGCATTCAATAAAGTTATGGGTAACCAAACAGACTACTCAATACTGATAAGTAGTAGTATAGAGTAATATACAAAACGCTAGTCAAACTACTCGAATGAACAGAATACAATGAAGCTAAAAGAACACATGTCAATTGCAAATATGCTCAATTCAATCGCATGATTACTCTCATTCACATAGTATCAAGGAAAATGAGGCTTTGAATGAGACAGACGGTTACTGAATTGCAGAAGAAATATGATCAACATTATGTGAAATGCACTTGACAAAATGTTCCATTCATCCAATTGATCTGATTTCATTCAATTTCACTTTGTGGAAGGCTTCTTCAAGTTCAGGTGTTCACCTCATTCAATTCGGCGGTGCAGCAATTGAAGAATGTAGTATGTTTTCATTCGTCTAATCACATGATAACATGATGTATGATGTTAACTTTATAACACATGTGTCTTGCAAAATTATCAGTTGACTTCATTCCAGTGCATATTCACACAATTTTACATGATCAAGTCCAGTTGATTGACAGCCACATGACACACACTATTCTGAAATCAGTCAGTTTGTATGTTATGCTGTTGTGAAACATTATTTGTGTTCGAGATTCCAGCTATTTTGATGAGTAAAGTATTCAACTTCAGTGAAGTACACAGTTGGATAGTCAGTTGTTTGAGAGTTACACTCAACGTGGACTGTATTGGACCTACGAAATATGCTTTACTTTTACTAATGATAGATATCAAGCTGCAATGTTCTATATCTTTGCACTTCTGAGAAGCATGAAATTCCTTCTCCATAACGGATTGTTTGTTGTTCGATGCTGAATGTTCTGAACATGTAAACGACAGTTGAAATGGCATATAACTAGTGTCTCGGATGAAAGTCGTAGTTTTGTAAATCTGCATCATTAACAGGAGGAATCAATGAGTGGATACATGAAAGCAAATGTATTTTCGTTAATAAATATGGGACATTCCACTCTGTTCCACTGCTTCAAATATACATCAATTTCTCTATATGTAGGTGCTTTACACTAAACAATCGAACGAACCAAATACCCTGAAAATGCTTTAACTCATCGATAAGTGTCACTATTCATATTTTCCCAGTCCATGCAATGCATCATTCGTTAAGTGTTTGAATCTGTATTGTACTGAGTAGAGAGCGATTCCGTGTATGTCGTCTCACTGCTGATGACGGAATTCAGTGAAACCAGTTGGAACTGGAACAGTGGTCATGCTGACTGAATATTGATTGTGCACAGTTTCTACACTACTTCTATTTCCCGACGTATTGTGTTCTTCGGCCTTCCTCTTTTCCGCTTCCCTGTAGGATTCCAAGTTTGGACCTGCCTCGTAATGCAGTTTGACCGTTTGCGTAATGTATATCCTGTCCATTTGCATCGTCTTTTCCTAATTTCCTCTTCACCTGGAAGCTGGTTTGTTCTCTCACACAGAAGGCTGTTGCTGATCGTATCCGGCCAATGAATGTTGAGTATCTTGCGTAGACAGCTATTTATGAATACTTGTACCTTCTTGATGGCAGTTGTTGTAGTTCTTCAAGTTTCAGCTGCGTACAGTAGAACTGCCTTGACGTTGCTATTGAAGATTCTGACTTTGATATTGGTTGACAGACAGTTGCTTTGAGTTCCATACGTTCTTCAGTTGAAGGAATGCTGCCCTTGCTTTGCCAATCGTCGCCTTTACGTCTGCGTCTGAACCTCCTAGTTCATCGATGATGCTTCCCAGGTATGTGAAGGATGCTACATCTTGCAGAGTTTCGCCATAAAGAGTGAGGGCATAGAGTAAACAGCCTTGTCTGTCTGCGGTCTTTACTTGGAATGCATCTGTCATCTGTCCTCCATGCACGACCTTGCACTGTAGTCCGTCGTATGAGTTCCGTATAATGTTGACAATCTTCTCAGGAACTCCATAGTGTCGAAGAAGTTTCCGTAACGTTCTCCTGTGTACACTGTCAAATGCCTTTTCATAATCAATGAAGTTGATGTACAGTGACGAGTTCCACTCAACTGATTGTTCGACGATGATCCGTAGTGTCGCAATTGCGTCTGTGCACTGTGTGTGCATGTTTGTAGTTACTTGGATGTCTGACTTCAGTGCTTCAGCTGGTATATTGTCGGGTCGTGCTGCTTTCCCGCTCTTGATTTGTCTGATGGCCATTCTGATTTCTTCCGTCATTGGTGGATCGTGATCTATGGGAAAATCTGTGTGTGCTGCTTCGATGTCCGGTTGATTCATTGGAGCCGGCCTATTAAGGAGTTCCTCGAAGTGTATATCGTATATATCGACCAAAATATAGAGTAATCGGGATTCAGTGTACATTGGTGTTCACCATACCCATGCTTATCACATGCTGAATTGTGTTTCAGAGTACACTCATGATACCAAACAATTGGATGTTAATCGAGTAGTTCATATCGGTCTTAGAAGTAAATAAGTTGAAAATTCCCATGAATATTTGTCCGTGATGTAAACAACAGTTATGAATATTAGTCAGTAAATATACGTACGATTCTACACATTTGTACGTTTCTACAAGCCTACGCTTACTACATTCAATGTCGACATTGCATTATTTTAATGCAATTCACTAGAATACCCTGACTGACCATTCATTACTACAGTCTCTTGAATAAACAAAAATATTACAATGTACAAAGTTATATTTTACGCTTTAGATCAGTAAATCAGTTTGACGCGGCGAATTCAACTATTGCCAGCGTAAAACTAACTAACATCCAACAACTTATTGAAGTATTTCCACTTCAAAACAATCATCTCGAATCATTCAGTTTCAGTGAGCTTGCCAAACAACCTTCATTTGAACACACTTTCGATGAGAGTTTTGTCAGTTGAACATACTATGCTTTATAAAACTGTCAGCGAATTCCAATCCACTTACAAATTTGACGACACCAAAACATGAACGCACACAGTACGGTACCCCAGTGATTCGTATGTTCTATTATAACACTACTGAAATGGTTGTCATGAAAGTTGACAGACACATATGTAATGCATAATTGATATTCACTATGTCAAATATAATGTGTTTGTTATTTACTATTCAATCTACTGATATCGGTGTTCATTTCATGTTATTTGTGATGAGTAGTCTAATCAGTGATTAGAAATGATAATTTCAGCGGTTATTTCAATTCACATTCACTCACATATTTTGCATTTCATACTGTTCAAATGATGATTGCAGTCACACTTGTATATATGTTGTGTATGAATAACATGAAAATGACTGAGATATGAACAACAGTTGTGTGTGGACACGTGGCACAAATCAGCAATGACAATTATGTAGTAGACCTGAGATATCTGAAATCGAAACAGTGAACATCATGGAACAGTTCCGCTTAACCGTTTCTCGACATTGTAAGAATGATCGATCGACTGGAATATACATCTACGATCATCTACCAAATGTCCGAATCGATCATTCAATCAGATACTTGCTTTCACATGAATGATCATGTGCAAAAATGTTGTGATAAATTTGATGATATCAAATATGTAAACAACAAGGTAGCATTGAGCGACGCACACTGAATATACACTGTACTGTACACTGTACAGTTGTGCCTAATCTATAGTATCAATCTTTCGGACTTTTCTTTAATAAGTCTGTAGTTCATGTATTGTAGTGTGCGTTTCAATTCTCAGTGTCGTAACTACAATTCGTATCCTACTGTTGAGCAGACGTAGTTTACATAACTCATCAGCACAACACATCCTTGATTGACACGTTTCAATGAGTCTATTTGGAAGGAATTTCACCTCGAAGTGTTAAGTTGGATAAAGAAATATTGATCAGTGTTGCAGACGCGAACAAAGCGGACACAAGTAAGGCGAGATTCGCAAGTTGGCGATCTGTTCTTGATCATTGGAGATACTTATTTACGACATATGTGGTTCAAAGTTCTAG